TTTGAACAGGGAGATTAGATCTGTACAGAGGTGGTAGTTCAAGCTGCCGTTGGGCAAGCCCTTGCAGGCGAGGTTGGAAGGCGTCAGACTGGCAGTCAGGAACAACAGCCCTGCCCCTGGCAGGGACACTGGCAAATCACCTTAACTCTTTGTGCCCCGTTTCCCCTCTAAAATGGATGTAGGTGATGCATCCCCAGTGAAGTTCTCCAAGAGCTACGGATGAGATGTGCTGAAGGGGAGCAAAATATTATTTCCCTTCCTTGAGTTATGCTTTTGAAAGGCCTTAAACTTTGAAGAGGATAAGTTTGGTGCTCAAAGTTATTGCCTGCACGGTTTTGGTGGTTCTGAGGTCTGCAGTCTTCTCTAGATGAGATTTAGATTGTGCAACTAAGCCATCACGTTTTGTGTAGAGGAAGGTAATTTTTGCAAAATTTTGAATGCTGCAGAGCCTGCATGCTGCACTGTTAGAAATGTGGCTGTCCATCGCTGTACACGTCCCCAGATCTTTACACAGGAAATGTAATAGGAAAGATTCGTAAGGGTTTAGGGTATCAAAATAATTGTGTGTCTATCTAATCTACAGTAATAAACTAATCCACTACATTTATAAGCCATACGCTGGGTCCTGCTTTCTGGTGGCTCCTGGGGTGTCGAAAGCTATAGGTGCCAGCAGAGGGCTCGCAGCCTCCCCTGCTCCATAGGGGAAGGGCGCTGCCCTTGCCCGAGGCGGCAGCCCCGGCCAGCCCGCTCGGCACGGTGCCTCCAGCTGTGCCTTGCGGCCAGCTGTGACCCAGAAGAAGCGAGTGGTTCTGCCAGCTACTCGAGTCTTGCCGTTGGGTCTAATGATACAACTATCTGACTTCTGAAGACCTCCACTAAAGCAGTTTGGGTGTTGAACCCTATATAAAATATTCTCCCTCTGCCAGCAAAGATCTTGTAACCTTCCCTGCGATGTCTGTTGTGAGAGGTTGTGTGGGATAGACTGGGAGATCTTCTGACATCTCTTCTAGACCTTAGTCTTATCAATCCAAATGTGATAGAGCCACCCAAGAGCTGCACTAGCTAAGCCTTCTAAGTGCAATTATGAGATTTAGAGGCAGAAATCACAATGCTGTGAGTTTGAGAGCAAGGGACATGATCCTGTGAGCTTAGATACTTCCCATTTAAAGGGAGCCTAAGCATGCTCGAAAGTCTCTGCAGGAACTGCATGGCTGGAAGATCCAGTAGATCCCTGAGTACCCACTTTTCCCTGGCAACCTTCACCTTTTGTCCACCTACTTCTTGGACCTCTGGTCCAGCGTGGGAGAGAAAAGGCATAAAGGAATCATTCTTTCCACAATAATGTTCTAATGTGCCTTCTGCACACCTTCCAAGCCAATTCCCACCATCCATTCATTATGGCCTTGCCTGTCATTGAGGCCTATTGCCATCCACTAGACATCAGAAAGCTGGATTATCATTGCGAGCAACATCCCTAACGTTTCTGTTTACTGTGTGGGCTTTGAGAAAATCAAGCTTGTTCCAAGGCATGTTCTTCAGTCCTTACAGAACATAAAGGAATTGCATGTACTCATTGGTCATAAAGGCAAGAGTGTCAGAAGTTGGATTTCTTGAGATCAGTAGGGAAGCCAGAGATGTTAGGCTCTATCTGATGGCCTGTACTATTAGATTTAATTTGGGCCCTGCTTCTGCCTCTGCCTTCCAACCTTCACAGATACTTTTGGCTACAGGATCCTGTAACCTTTCTAGCACTTGTGTCAATCTCTGTGTAAAGGAGATTTCCCTCTAGCTTTAAGATCCACTTCAAGGGGTTGTCCTGAAACATAAATAATTTTTCATGGCTAAGAAATTTTTATATAAAGATGCTCTGATGAGGGAAATCCAAAAGCAGCTGCTGTGTTGCT